TCAGGGGGAACAGACTCACAAGCCCGAGCGAAATAGAGAACAGATCTGAGGAGAGCGGTGTGGTGAGAGGTCAAAGGAGAACGTTTTGCCGAATTTGCTCATTACATCCTGGCCTTAATTTGCGATGGGGGTGTTGTTTGTCTTATCTTTAAGGGATGACAAAATGTCCAAGAAGCAACATCACGATCATCACACAAATATCACTTACATCTGTTTTTGGATATCTGAGTTGTTCCAGCAAACAGAAAAGATCCGTTTCTCAGAGTACTGGGAGAGAACTACTGAAGGCCTTCAAAACTGTGATCGCTACTGCAACAATATTTCTGACAGGTGTGGGTGTATGTGAGCGCATTTTTCATTTTTGTATTTCTGTGACATGTGCCATATTTATATAGACATAATGGGTACCTTGTGTATGCATTTCATTTTCCCGGAAATAGATCTAAAAAAAAGGGAGCCTTTTGTTTAAGGTTAATATCCTGTCGCAGCACATTATTTTTATGTTGCCCATCATATCCTGTTTTACAGTTCATTTGCAACAGAATCCCACTTCAGACTTTTGAGCTTTGACAAACTCACTGTTTCCAAAAAAGTGCCTCAAAACTAATCTGTACATGTGGTGCATTTTAATGACAGAAATCTGTCAACCCCTGAACTCTTCCTTGCAACAGAAATAAGCTACATTTTCATTCAGAAATGTAGATTAAGCTACAGCAGAGTCTGATTAATCCCTAATCTTTCAGAATCTTTTATTGTACTCGGGTTCTTTAATCAGTAAGATCCGTAATGGCAAATGCATTCCATATGCACATTCTCAAGATACTGTTTTACATTTTAAACTCTGGACCTTCTCCTGTTTCACTGAGGCAGACCTTAATACTGCTGGAAGGTCCTCAGCACAGGCTTCATGGTTACTGCCTGCTCTTTCATTGACCCGTCTGTGTCTTTCTTACTCTAAAGCAAAAATAATTTAGGAAAGAACTCTGTTTTGTGCTGCTGGTACTGTAGATAACGATTTGTAACACAATGTAGAATTGTCACTGGGAGCTTGTTGTTCTCCTTGGACATTTTCCATTCTAGTTTTTATGTTAATTTCATGTAGACAATGGAGCCACTCTTTAAAGCAAATGGCTGCCACATGCGCTTTGAATATACTGTTTTAATTTAGTGTAACATAAGCCCATCAAAGTGCACTGAATGACCCACAGCTGTGTTGTAAAGACTATTGTTGCCCTTATAGGCGAAGTCTATATTCATGCTGTGCCAAGTTTTATCAGTTTACCAAGCTGCCTATGGTACAGTATGTGCAGATCTTCTTGCAGGTACTTTGTAGTGCTTAGGAGTAAGCAGGCTGTCCGTCTCCAACAGCTGGGACTTGGAATTTCTGCAGGGTGGTTAAGGCACTTTGTGAGGGAGAGAGCTATATAGGACCTGTTTGGGCCAAGCTGCTTTTCTTGGCTGGGAAACCTCGGTGAGCTCTGTATGGGCTTCCGATCTGCAGTAGGCAGCGGGGGGGCATTCATCTGGTTTTTGTTCTCCTCCCTCGGTCCCTGGCAGACATGCTAAAATAAATTTCGCCAGCAGCAACAGTTAAAAATGTTACATATTTGGAAAGTAATCATTGAACCCGCTTCTGCCTGTTACCAGTCTTCTCTGGAGCCACTGTGGAGTTAATAATTAAGTTAGATCCAAAGGTGTTTGTTCGTTTGGCAGTAGGAGAAGCTTCATAGGTTCCCCATGTGGTGCAAAAAGCAAAGCATGGTCAGTAAGTACAGTGAAAACCCTGCACACTCCCAGATAGCCTCTGGAGAGTCATTCATATTATTCTGTTACATCAGCCTTTTGGCTGTACATCCTGATAAGGCTGTTGTGCAGCCAAAACTTTGATGTAATTTAGGCAAAATGAAGAGCAGTGGAGAGCATCAGAGAAAGTGCAAGCCCTTCATGGGATTGTTTTCCAAATTTAAATGTTGATTTTAAAGTGGCATGTCCAAATTCTGAGTATTCTGAGTTTCTCCTGTTTCTCTTTAACTAGCACAGATTGATAGGCTTCAGGGACAGAAGATCATAGCTTCAGTGCTTTTCATTTGATCCTGACTGAAAGATACCTTTGTCTGTCGTTCAGGTGACTAGTTTGCTCTAAATGATACCTGTACTTGCATGCCTTAGCATCCTTATTGGTCTTTTGCACAATTACTCCGATAACGAGAACAGTCATTATGTCCACTTTTAGTTTAATTTGCCATCTGTGATCAGAAGAAATTGACATTGGACATCTTTTTGGAATAATCTATTTGAACGTCAAAGCATTTTTTCTTGTTTGTCTGTTTGTTGTATTACCCTGAGTAACTGTGGTTAAAACAAATATTATAGCACTATTGTGAAATGCCTATTTAATAGGGAGTTTGTGGTCATGACTTAAATTCACTACCCCAGCAAGAAAATAAATATTAATTCAGGTTTTTTTAGGTGGATGGATATTTAATTCTCTGAAGGGGGCTAAGAAGTTATGGAAGTTGCATTTGTGGGGTTTGTTCGTTTTGACCTAGATTTTCAATCATTTTTCTGAATGTGAATTTGGAGTAATGTAGTTAGAACATTGTCGGAGCCATGGAGTAAGGATTGCTGGGCCTTTGTCCTCAGCAGAACTGTTGAAGTTGTGATTTGGAGATGATCTCTACTGGATCAAGGGCAATCATTTGCATAGGACCTGTTGTTACAGAATTAGTAGCTCTCTGCACAGTTCAGCTGCCATAGTCTTACAATACCACAGGTGAAACGAGCAGCACCTGAAAGTAAAAGAAGAAATACTACAATGAACGAACGAACGGAAGTAGAACAACAATACGATAGCCCGTGTCTTAAAAGATTGCATTTGCAAGGGTGATGGCATTTAATACAGGTCATAATTCATCTGTATGTCATATTCTGATCACCCAGCTAATAAGGGAGGGGATGTCTTTAGCCTGAGTTCTTGTTTTAGCCAGGGGATTAACATTTATCTTGGGACTGAGTTAGACATTGCTTTCGGCTTAATGCTAGTACCCTTCTCTAGCCCAGCTGTCTAGAACAGTGCTCGGCCTTAAAATACATCTGCGTCTCCAGTTGGCTGCCTTTGCTGCTGTTACGAGCTCCAGAAACATTGTTGTGATGTTTCTAAGGTCACAGACTTGGGGTTTCTCCCCCCTTCCCCCCCCAAACTGTGCTTTCATGTACCCTTATGAGGGACGGTAAGCCGGTGGCACTGGGGTGCCACCTCACCACTCTGGAGCCCTGGCTTCAGTCTGGGACCTGGGCTGCTGTCTGCGTGGAGTTTGAAAATTCTCCCTGTTTTCTTGTGGGTTTTGTCTGGGGTTTTGACGTACTCTTAATTGGCTTCAGGGAAGACTGGTCCTGGTGTGAGTGTGTGTCTGTGTGTGCCCTGCGATAGACTGGTGTCCTGCCCAGGGTGTACCCTGCCTTGTACCCCTTTACTTGCCAAAATGGGGTCTGACTCCCCAGAGGCCCTATATGGGATAAAGGGGTTCGAAAATGGATGGAAGTATATTACATCATTTAAGGGAAATGATATGAACATACTGCATGTGCTGTGTTACAACGGGGATCCAGTGTTGCCATAGAAACACTTGAGGTTCAGGCAAATCTGTATTTGACTGTGGGGAGAGGAAAGTATGTTTTGCTGCTCATGTAAGTCTTTCATTTTCAAGGGTGGGTTAGCACTCTCCCAGCAGAATTCAGAAATCTGTTCACTAGGGCAGATGTGGGGTGAAATGCAGATGTGTGGTCTTCCCCCTCACGTCAACATCTGGCCTCCCAGGTTACGCACGGAGAACTGCATGTTCCGTTTCCCTCCCGACAAATTCGCTGGCCGTACGATTGTCATGGAGAATCTTTGCTGCCAGGAGGAAATGAGCTGAAGCGTGCAGCAGTCCTGCTTGTGGAGATTACTGAGAAAAACAGAACATTCCACAGGTCCCTGCTAAAATGGGAGGCCGTTAATGTGGGGGCACAGACACTTTAACCAGGTCTGGGCAGTGTGCAGTTAAAATTATCAGATGTCAGAATCCCGGAAATCTAATAATGAGAAAAAACGTTATATCTCCAGTTCCCAGGGATTTTATATATAGCCTGACTTGTCTGGGAATTCCATTTCTGATGGAAATCAGGGTCGTCTTTACACTGAAGTGCAAAAATAACCCAGATTACTTTTTGAGTGAAGATCTTGAAGTGTCCCGGTTTTCTTGGCTGGAGCTCAGAGGCTACATTAATTAGGACTTAAGATGTTTGGACATGGGACATCTGGACAGGTGCTGGTATAAAAAAAAAAAACTCATCTAGTTTAGAGACCTTTGGCACAGATCACAAACAACATTCTTGTCCTGGTAAACAAAACCTACTTTCCTTGGAGCTGAGTGATTAAAGAAACTACTCTAATAACAGACACATTAGGAAGGTATGAAGAACAAGAGGGTAGTTGGTCTACCGATTTGATTTCTCTTCAGTGTGAAAACTTACCACCCAGTTATATCCATAGCAAGCATAAGTGTTTATATTATTTTGAAGTACTTTTTGTATTCATTAAATTCATCTTCGAACTCCATTTCAGGGGGAAAAAAGAAACCTTTTGATTTAAGTCAGCCTCAATTTAGTTTGCTGTGCTCAGTTTAACAGGACCACACTGCACAATCACACAACCCCTTGTGTTTTAAACACTAGCGATGCAAGGATCTGCTAAACGTGCCCAGTTCTCATCAGGAGCCCTGTAATTGAAGATGTGAGTTTGTCTGTGAAAGGAATGAGACTGAGATGCGTCTGTCTTGTCTAAAAAATCTTTATAATACTGAAAAATCATTTTATGAATATTGCAATAATGAGTCCTTTGGTAGACCTTTTCCAGAGAAACATGACACGCGCGGTTAACATCTCCATGCACATAAAATACTAGAAGGAAAAATAAATTAAACACTGGAAACTGATAGTTTCTTCTTTCTGTCTTACAGCTGGACCCTCAGACAGTACAGTCCAAGAACTGGCACATGGATGTGATAGAGATGAATGGGGTAGGAACAGTTTCCTGTTCCCTAGTGCTCTACAGTATGCTGTCATGATCTTCACTGTCTGAAAGTGAATCCTACCTTTTATTTTATAGTTCATTGCACACTAAAGATATTTATTTTTCTTTATACTGCCCAAATTCCTAAATTTAGGCATGTGTACTGCCTAAATACCTAAATCCTCCTTAAATACAGGTTATAAAGGATTTATAGCATTACTTTGAATCCCTGTACTGGGGTGTTACCTGGTTTGTGTTCTTAAAAGCTAAAAAAACGTATTTTGTTTGCAGAATTCAAAACAGGTTCAAATGAGAGGTGTTATTTTCATAACTGTTAGAATGTGATTATTTAGACGACATAATAAAGTTGAAGCTAAGTTACATAAATTAAATCCTGTTTTAAGTACAAATTCATGGAAACATTATCATGTACATTTGCATATTAAGATGAAACCCTGTATTCCTGTGACTACGGTCTCTGTCCTTCAGATCAAAGTGGAGTTTTCAATGAAGTTTACAAGTCGAGATCTGAGTTTGAAGAGAACGCCATCGAAGAAACAGAGTGGGGTGTTTGGAGTTAAAATCAGCGTGGTTACAAAGTAAGCCATTCCGATACTCTAAATAGAACAGAATTCATTTATTATTTATCTATGTAATTCCTATATTACTTTAGTGTTCATTTCAGTAAGTTATTTGCACAGGGCCGCATTACATATGTGAAGATCTGCACCGCAGCATAACGAACTCATTGTCCTGGAAAATGAAATGAACAAGTAATAAACGGGGATGAGGTGCTAAAGACTACAGGTCAGGAGAAGGTTACGTATCCCTTTGAGTACAGTGAAGCCTATGATTAAACAGTGGCATGTGGTTCTTTTGAAATAAAAATTAGATATGTTCCTTTTAATTAATCAAAAAGCCAAATTATCTTCAGGGAGAGAATATTCGTCCAAGGCATTATACCTACTGTATAAATGGTTCTAAAGAAAGGGTTTTGCTGTCAAGACCAATCTTTTTTTACTATGCACATTTCTCAGATTGTTCAGGTTCTGTTTTTTAAAAAAGAGGTATTTAAGATCTTGTGTGTTTTTTCTCTCTCCGCAGACGGGAGCGCTCGAAGGTGCCTTTCATCGTGCGCCAGTGCATCGAGGAGGTGGAGAAGAGGGGGATCGAGGAGGTTGGCATCTATAGGATTTCTGGGGTGGCAACAGATATCCAGGCTTTGAAAGCAGTATTTGACACAAGTAAGTGAACATCACGCATCTAACTAGGAATTCGGTCGCAGTCCAGGTTATTACGGTGGGGATTCATTCCACACATGATTCCCTTTTAAAGGTTAAAGCTATTATTTACCTTCAGTTTCCAGATACTACAGTTTATACCAGTACTTCTTGTGGAAGAGTCAGGTAGGCCTCTAACAGAAGACCCTTCCTCCTTCTGCAAAGATGGGTTTGTGGGAAATGATGATGGTTACCGATGATGGCATCTGTCAGCTGCAGAGGGTGATGCCATTCTCTGAGTCAAATCTGTTTTTTTGGGGGGCGGAAAAGGGCAAGCAGTCACACGCCCGGGAGATTGAAACAAATAGATTTTCTAAGCTGGTGTGATGCATTGGCTTTTTTCCTTCGGTATCCATCTTTTACTCCTATGCTGTACGCGGAGGTAGAATTTGCTTTTAGAAATGCATTAAAAAAACTGAGCAAAAGTGACTCACCGTGTAGCCTTTCTTGCCAGTGAGCAGGGTTATGAAAGGCTTTTATAAGGTCTTGCAGTGTCACCAACAAGACTGGTAAAAGCAATTAAGGGAGTCAGTCTGGCAGTGACGCATCGATTGAAAGGAGCTCCATGTTATTAATCCACGTTTCCCTGTGCAGAACTGTGCATTAATGCATGTAACTCTTCCCTTAGATACCAAAGACATCCTGGTGATGCTGAGTGATATGGACATCAACGCCATAGCTGGAACTTTGAAACTGTACTTCCGGGAGCTGCCAGAGCCACTGCTCACAGACAGACTCTACCTGGCTTTCATGGAAGGAATAGGTACAGTATGCACAGCTGACTGCACCGCACTTACTGGGCATAGTGTATTTCTGGCCACTCTAGTGAAAGCGCTTTACAGGTAATGGGGACTCCCCTCCACCACCACCAGTGTGCAGCCCCCACCTGGATGATGTCACAGCAGCTAAAGTGTGCTAGAACGCTCCCCACACACCAGCTCTCTGTGGGGAGGAGAGCAGAGTGATGAAGCCAGTTCAGAGAGGGGGATTATTAGGAGGCCATGATTGGTAAAGGCCAGGGGGAAATCTGGCCAGGACGCTGGGGTAACACCCTAAGGCAACGCGCAGCATGAGAAATGTCCTGTGTGAACTGGCATTGATTCCCCAGAGCACGCAGGGTTGGCCGTTTCGGCTCTGGGAAGAAGTGGGGGCATTCCAGATGCCGGGAGGTTGCCAGAACAAACGTGGGCGAGGGGGGCGCGAGTATGAAAGCCAGAGATCACGGAAGAGTGTGAGCCAAGTGCCGGGGCTCGTGAATAACCCCTGCCTGTGTCCGTCCGCACAGCTCTGTCCGACCCGGCCGCCAAGGAGAACTGCATGATGCACCTCCTGCGATCCCTCCCCGACCCCAACCTCATCACCTTCCTGACCCTGCTGGAGCACCTCAAGAGGTAAGGAGGAGCTGGGCACCCTGGAAACCAGAGATCTATCTCTTTAGTTGGGTTTCTTTAGAGGAGCACATTACAGTGACATCAGCGTCTGCTGTGAGATCTGCTGTGCTTTATGTGACTCTCAGACCTCAACTTCCTGTGGAATTTACGCCGTTGTTTGTGTTTCGTGGAGATTGTGAAGATTACTGCCCAGTTGCAACCGTTAAATCAGTTTAATCTGTGCTCAAGTCTAAAGGACTTCAAGCTACATTTCTGCACCAGTGGACCTCTTTCACTGACTCAGACACACACACAAAAGCCCCTGCTATCACAAGGTTCCCTGTCTCAGTGTCAGACATGCTGTACTGAGTAATTTGCCTAAAATTCATAAGAGCAGACTCATAAGAGCTATAGAGGGCTGACTACTTCATGAGGTTACAGAGTTCAGACAATATTGCCATAAAGTTTGCCGTAGCCGAACCAAAGATTTCTTGTTGCAATTTAGATGAAGAAGAAATCTGTAATAGAGGCTTTTAAAATATTTAAGTAGGGAGCTGCGTCAGGATGCGTAGGCTGCAAAGGAACAAGTAAAAGGTTTATTCCGTGCTGAAGAGAGAAGAAGAGAAGCACAAAGTTTCGGCTGTGGAGCCTTCTTCGGGCTATTAAGATATTTCTGCCTGTAATTTTAAAGGCACGTCCTTCTGTTTTGGCCCTTGGAGTGTTTGCTAAAGGCATTGCACTGGAAAAACTGAGTGACTGTAGATGGAAAAGCCATTAGCTTACACAGCCTGCTGATCTGCTAGTGTGCTCCCACGTCTGGTTCTCTGGAGCAGCACCAGGGGGCTACAGTGCAGAACAAGTATCCTAAAATACAAGTTAGTGTTACTGGGGGAGGGGGGGTAACTTTCACATGTTAATTGATCCCGAGCACACTTTGCTGTACTGTTGCGGCAAAGATTAGCTGCAAATTGTGGATTTATCTTCTTCTGTCTGAAATGATTACCTTTCACCAAGCAACATATTTTACCACTTTATTACAGCCTAAGTGTTGGCATGTTGGGATGAAATAAAAGGCACAGGGCTCATGCCAGTGCTGATGGAGTACAAAATTAACAGTTGTAATGCTTGTGAATGCCAGAATGCCAATTGCATTTCAAAACATTAAATAAAAGAAAGGCTAAATTATTAACGTTAGAAAGAACCCCACAGTTTCATCACAGTCTACACATTCCTGTCCTGATCCTGTGTACAGTACAGCCCTGACAACAGCTTGTATGGATAAAGTAAAGCTGAGAGGTGATGGTAGCAGACAGGATGGTGGTTCTTTATTTGTCCACGACATTTTGATTCCCTTTCATATTTCCATCATAGTATTTTCCAGTGGTTTGTTTTGAGTGGGGGAAAAAAAAAATTAGCGTGTCGTGAATTTAGACTGTACCCATCGGGCCTGTGGTTTGTTTGAAGCATATGGTTGCCAGCCGTGTAAATCCTTATAAACTGTAAAAAAAAAAAAAACTGAAAGAAGGGAAAAAAATACTAAAAAGCTTCCTCAGAGGACTGGCCAGTGTTCAAACGTTTTTTCTAAACAGTGGAAATATTAACACCTGTTTTCAACACCTCTTAAAGGCGCAACAAGCAGGGATAGAAACATCCTGGTCCTGATCATGTTAGGTTCAACCAGATCTGAGAAGAGCCTTGATACCCAGGCTCTGTATTTGACCAGTGTGAACTGTGAGCAGGATGGCACCACCTCCTGGTGAACCCAAGAACGACAGAAGAGAAAATACTGCAGAGGAGGACAAGGGATACTTTCATTGAAAACGGCCGGTTTTTTCAGAACAGAAAAAAGAAGCCTGAAGTCACTTGAACAGCGGCGATGACGTGCAGCTAGCATTTTCCTTCCTCACCTCACATGAGCCGGGGTGACTTGTGACTTTGCTCGTGTGCGTGGTGAGTGGTTGGCGCCCTGCTGGAGATGACGAGTTTTATTAACTGGGCTGAACATGTGCAGCTTCCACAGGGCATGAAGTCATGTCTGCAGGAGTGGGCCTGGCTGACGGGAGAGCCCTTGGCCGCTGATTTCAAGAAGCCGCGGAGAGGGAGATCAGAGAGGTGTCATGGGTGGAGATGCCTTTATAAAAATAAAAAGGCGCTCTCAAACATGTGTCAGGCCTGTTGGACCCTGCTTTCCTCTGCTCTTTTTCACATCTGTTGATACTTAGCTTTTCCTCAGAGGGGGGAGAGTGGTGGAATCAAGCCTTTGTGCCAGCAGGTTATGACACATGGTGCGAATGCAGGAGCAGCTGCCCTGACATCAACGCGCGAGTCTTTCGATGGGTCAGTCTGCAGCGAAGGCAGTTTCCTCAGGCCAAGCGAGCAAATCGTTTTCGAAGAGGCTGGGGTCTACCAGGGGGAATCTACATCAGCAGAGAGCAGCACAAACAGTGGAATCCGTGAAGCAGAACTGCACGGTGCTTTGCTGTTGAAAAATGTGAAAGCTTGTGGCCACGAACGCAGCTGACCAATCAAGTACTAAAAAATGCACCTGTGACACAGATCAACATGCCACATGGGATCAGGGGCGTTCAGAGGTTTCCTGCATTAGCTGGTTGGACGAATTCAAAATATATTTCCAACATATAAGGGAAGACAATTGATGATAGCTTGTTTCTTATGTCTTATGTCACAGTTAACAGATGTGTCTTCAGAACAGTGATTTCTTTTGTGGCAGGATCAAACTCCATATACATCAGAAATAATCTCCTCAACTCTTATCAGCAGTTGTGCACATGCTAAAATGGCTGGCAACTATGGTAACTCCACAATTCCTTGCACAAAACTGCACTCCTCTTCACAATACAGTGCAAAACATGAAAGGGCGGAGGTATAGATCTTTGCAAACTGCTTTGTATGTGGGGAATGACAATGTGGGGCAATTTTAACGATCATTAATTGTGGTGATTTACACATAGCGGTGTGGTTTATCTGTTTTTTTCAAACCAGAGCAGGCCCTTTTATGAGCAGTTATTGGATGCACATGGCGTTGTAGGCTGTGTGATGAGTATTCTGGTTAAAGGTTTTGGGTACTTAGTTGTATTAATTGTTTGATAATGTACTTTTTATTGTTTAGCAGTTTGGAATGAGAATGAGAAGTTTTCATTGGACTACGCACAGACGGTTGTCTAGGCCCTGTTCAGTTTGCAGTCTCAGTTCACTTAAAATTCCTAATGCAGCCGGTGTTAGGCCTGGGTACTGAATACGGAAGTGAACTACCTGGTTTGCCAAGGAGTGATGAGCTTTTACATTCCAGAATTTACTCACGTGATCAAAAGTCAATCATGGTGCAAACGTTTTTTGCATTCAGTCCTTGCTTGGACTAAGCAACAGTCCATCAACAGGGTTATTTTTTTTAATGAGGGTATAGCAGATGTGCCTCTGTTTTTATGTAGGTTCCCTTGACTCTATCCCTGCAAAGCCTGCTCGCTGTTTGTCTTTGTACTGAACAAATGGCACCTCGTGAGCCTGTGTGACAAAGATCACGTTTGACAAAGATGCCTTTGCTGTGTTGACACACACATGTGCACAGAGAGCCCAGAGTGGCTGCGCCACCTGTGAGCCAGCTTGTCTCTCCAAGCCTGGTGAATCTGACGAAAGAAAAGAGCAAGAACAGTTTCTGAAGGCAGTATACATCGTCTGATAATATTATGGTTGTCTAATTAAGAGTCACAGGTGTTATTGCAGGTTACAAGCCCTTGGCAAATACTCCAGTACTGCTTTACATAGGAAGGTTGTAAGATTTATGCCTTTGAGAACTCGTTATGAACTCGTTGCTTGGGAGCTAAGGGAAAACTAATCAAGAGCAAAGACATCATTTAGTCCGAAGTGAGTCTGGAGAGATGAGAAAGTGCACCTGCTGTGTTTTCAGCACAAGACTTGTCGGAGAGATGCGTAACACCGGCTCTTTATCTCCACAGAGTCGCCGAAAAGGAACCCATCAATAAAATGTCCCTTCATAACCTCGCCACTGTCTTTGGCCCCACACTGCTGAGGCCCTCAGAAGTAGAGACCAAGGGACACATCAACCTGGCCTCGGATATCTGGTCCCATGATGTTATGGCGCAGGTAGGACTGGGTCTGACTGTGAAAGTGGAAAGGGGGACGTTAGGGGGACACGTTTATTCTAGGTACTGCCGATGGTGTCTGCTTATTTTTTAGTCTCCATTCAGACCCTGTCAATGGAGGCTCTTGTTCATGTTCTGATCCGACACCAGGTTGAAGTACACCAGTCTCGTTGGCTTACAGCTGTGTCCTGGCAGCACAGTACTTCAGCCTTGCAAACCTGACAGAGCGATGAGCTCCAGCACCACAGCTGGCAGCCGAGTCGGGACACGCCACTGTATCAACCATTTCGTAAATAACGCTTCTATAGACACACTGTCTGTTCTTAAATTTGCATGGCCTTCAAATCCAACCGCAAGTGCCTCATGATAAAAAAAAAAAAACATTGGATTTCCTGTCTCGTATTATGGTTGCGCACTGTTCAGTTAAGTCGGCAACCACTTTCACATGAATGAATTTTTTCCACCGTTGGCTTGTGTCACCGCTTGCCCTCTGCTTATGTCAGAAGCTCTCGTGAGTCGTGGGAAAAGGACCCAGCTAGCCTTGTCTAGCGGCCTGGCACTACACAACACCATGTCCTTCCCAGGCCTCCACACTGTCACTGTAGAACTCAGCAGAAGATCTAAACACATGGATTCTGTACCTCAGATTGTGTCAGTGGTGGGCGAGGGGCCGATGTGTGACATTGAGGACTGAGCAGGGGGATCAGTTCTCTACAAGTATCTTTTCAATATACACACCAGTGTTGTTCCTGAATTATTTTAAGTGAGACCTCCAGATGGTGTGTACTGATTTTATGAGATTTCCGCAGTGCTTGTCGTCAAAAATAAATTGTCTTTGCCAACTTTACATTGCCAATTGGAAGTTCAGTGGGGGGAAAAAAAGACATTAAGGAATCGGGAACCGTCAGGTCACTGTCAAGGGGTGTTGAATCCAAAATGTTCTCAATTAAATATTCATCTTTAGCTCGTAACGTTTTGAAACTTTATGGTTGCCGGACAATGAGAATTCCTAACCAGGCACGTGTTGTTCTGAATGCTGTATTATGTGCCTCAGGATCTGTGGTCTTCACATTGTCGATGTCGTCTCAGTGGATATTGCATTTAGACCTGAGAACAGAGGACATTTCTTTACACAAAAGGTTGTGGGTGTATGTAACAAGCCTGCCCACCCTCGGATCACTCGCTTCCCGACAACCCAACAAGCCTGGTTGGCCGAACAGCTTCCTCGAGTTTGAAGCTTCTCTGATCTTGGTTTCCTCTCCCCGACGCAGGTCCAAGTCCTCCTGTACTACCTTCAGCACCCTCCCATTTCCATCTCCGAGCTGAAGCGCAACACGCTGTACTTCTCCACCGACGTGTAGACTGGGAAGAGCCAGAGCGCCCCCTGGCCTCCGGCTCGCAGAGGCGCGTCCACGCCACCCACCCATCCTCTTGTGTCCCGGTCCAGTGAGAGAAGAGGGAAGACGACGTCCAGAGGAACCAGCACTGCGCTCCCTCTGCATTTCATTCGTCTTGTGTGTTTTGTATTTCAAAAGGACTGTTCCCTGTCCCATTTCCTGACCCGATAGCAGGGGACGGTCCACTTCCCCGCCTGGCAGATGATCACTTTTGCGTCTGTTCCTCCTCGTTTGGGGGTGTCCCCCCCCACCCCCACCCCCCTCGAAGAGCAGGTCAGGGAACTTGCGCCGAGATTTCAGTTGCTCTTTTCGGCCTTGGCTGCTGACGGCTTGCTGTCCGCTCTCCGTCCCACGTCCACGGTCAGTTTTAAAGCGGGGAGGGGTTTGAGTCCCCAGCACTGAGCTGTGGTCAGGCCACCGAACCGCTGGAGCATCGAGGCACATGGAAACGACGACGAGGACTTGTTGTTTTCTTCTGTGGCAATGCCATCACACGTAAAACTGAGAAAGAATCTGCACCAGGCGTTGGTCACAGCTCTGGTGAGGAGCGATCATGGTACTTTGTGATTGTTAGGAACACGGAGATATCGATAGTGCTTCAAGAACGTTCTGTTGCCGAGTTCACTTCAGAGGCATTCCAGAAATGGCATTTAAAATATTTTATAAATATTATTTGTTCAATGGTTTATTTTTTGCTTTGTGCATGTGATTGAGGAGGGCTGCGAGCTTTTGACTGTGTTCCGCAAGAGGACGAGGGTGACGTGATTTTACACCGTCACAGTTTCTGTTTCAGGGCACCTCAGAAGTGTCTCATTCATGTGCCACAGCCCTCCATAGTGTGAGTAAAAGCTGAATTTGCCCTATTTATTAAAAATATTAAGTGTGCCTGTACAACCCAGTACATATATAGAAATAATTTACAAAAACTTTTTTTTTTCCTTTTAGTATGAGTCTGTTCGTTGTTTTGAGGTTCATCTTAAGGATATTGATGTTTTTTTATGTTAAATTTCTCATTTACATCAGTTGTTGGCTGAAATGTACTGTAATATGAATAATTGTGTGAAAATCCTTTTGACAATTGATTCCTTCTTTACGAAATTGACATAAGAAATGGAGATGTCATAAAAATAAAAATATTGTACAAAGAATGAAAATAATTCCTTCTTTTAGGTCATTTCCATTGTACACCAGTGTACCACAGCATTCTAGTGTTACTATAGGAGGGTTAGTGTATTACTGGGATCCCCAATCCTAGTCCTGGTGACCCACAAACTTGCTGGTTTTCACTGCATCTGAGCTCTTAAATTCATCCTTTTAAACCTTAATGGAATCAACTATTGGTTTAGTTAGAATCTGGGCAAGTTTTTTTTTTCTACTTAATGACTGGAGATTGAAGAAACACATTTGTTAGAAGGCAACCACTTACAAGTTTAGAAACTGAAAAATGAGTTGAGTTTAAAGGCGTCATGTCACTTAAGGGCTCAGATGCTCAGGTGGGACAGAAACCAGCAGGTGTGTAGTCCCCAGCCCCAGGGTTGGGACACCCTGGTATAACTTGCCCTCACTGCATGTTCAGCTTATCAGTCAGGCTGCAGGCTTCCTGCATTGTCATCAATGAAACCCTGCAAGTTCAACTGTACTGTTATCAAGCCTACAACATATCTTAAGGTAAGCACTGTTAGATGAGTACTATTTGATATTTTTAATATAAGATAAAAAGAAATCAAAACCGTGTATTTTACATCCATGGGGAAAAAAAATGAGTACATATTTACAGTAAGGGTAAATGTCGATGTGAACTTTTTTTTTAGAAAAATAAATAAAACTGTACCAAACAGTGATATTCTGTGACATTCTTGGACTGGGGAAGCTGAAGTATATTGTTTTTTGTATCTTTTCACTGTACCACATAATCATTACAAGGTACAACTCCAGGGAGGAACCATGATAGAAGCTTCTTCTGTTGTTACTTAACATTGTTTTAACTTTTTGTACATCCGGTGTGTAATAATAGACCACATCGTGCTTCAGATTGTGTGTTTTATATTCCTGTTTTTTGCGAGTCTATGAAAAAGGTGTAAGTAATGTGTTATAGACGGGCATCTTTTCAAACGCTACTTTGACAGGACAGTGCAGAACATATTATAATTCAGAAAATGACATGACCAGTTCTTACCGGTGTAAAGACTTATCTCTAAAGTCTATTTATTGATTACTTACAAATTGCACATATATTTATTTTCCTACAACAAAATTAACTAGGCTCAACCAAATGTTCCTCTCATGTTTTTTTTATAACTTATAGGAATTGCTCCGTATTGAAAAGATGTGGAGTATTAACAGTCCAGAACTCATAGCGAACACAGAGAACTGCTGGTCCTCAGCAGGAATACAGGCCACTCCCTCTGATGCTTCTCTTGTGCTCCAAGGATAGCCTGGCCAGCTCTACTGGAAAGCAACTGGTAACAAAAAGTCCTTCTGTCCGAAGCCCTGGACCTCAGCGCAGGTAATACTCGATTGCTGCTGAAAAGGCAGCAAAACCACCACATCCCAGCAGTCCGGCCTTGAGCCCAGCTGTTTGCGGGAGGAAACGAAGAAAGAAGTTCAGTACCTGTCACCGAGCTTTAAAAAAACAAATTTTTGCTCTTAATAATCTCTAAAGCAATTTTCATTTTTGCCACTGCAGTAGTTAACAAAAAATGTACCGTGCTCGGAACACGTGCCTCAATCCTTCAGCGGGAGAGAAAAGAAATGCGCGTGATAGTCTAAAAATCTGCACTATTTTGACAAGCCGTTTGTCAGAGGTGGCACACTGTCAGCTTTTCATGTGTGATCTCAGATTTCCTGTTATCACACCTTTCTCTTTGAATTTTCACTCCCTTTTCAACTACATTTGTTCTTCAGCTGTCAAAGCTATACCAAAGCTATTTTGTGGTCCTGAAATCCACCATTATTAATTTTTGCTTTCGCTTGGCTTTCTGTTCTCAACATACTATAATATGTAATGGGAAATTGCAAATTATTTTTTTATGACAGACCATTAGCAATTTGAAATTGCCAGTTGTGTCTTGGGAGTGTGGAGTCTGTGTGACACAGCTACCGCCCCTATACTCACATGGGGGTAATAAAGAGATAAAGACAGGCACCTCCATCCTGATCTCCCATTGAGTCACTGACACATTAGCAGACGTGGAGAACAGGACGTTCAGCACCAATTGTAAATGAGGTGCATCCCTCACTAATGTCACTGTAAGCCTGCAGATAGCTAGGAAGTTACAGGAGCCCCTACTGCACTAGGAGCCAAGCAAGCCCTGACCAATTGATCCAACCCTACTCCTGACAGCAGCCATTGTAACGTGCAACACTACCTTAGGAATCTCTCACAGTAGGCTGCTGACAAGACTAACGTCTAAACTCCTGTCTGGCTCTGACACAAAGTCGGGATCAGCTTAACCTGTGTTTCCAACTAGCGCCTTTACATGCTGAGCCCCATCTGGTCATTTTGAAAGTGAGCTAACCTCTGAAGCCAATCGCCCCTCCAGTCACACAGCCGCTGAGAACAGCATTCTTCCAGTCTGACTTCCCTCTGTGCTGAAAAGGAAAACCAATACAAGAACCTCAGGCTGGAAAACACCATACAGCTCATGTAACAAAACAATTCAGTTGATTAACCACAAGAGGGAGCTACGACACTGTTCTCAGTTAAACTGCTCAAGCCAGTGATACAGGATTAAGAGTTATCAAATGCAGGCTTTCCCATCCTTAAACCCCTCTACTCCCAATCACTCCCTTCTCCACATCCTCCTCGTACTGGGAGCTGTATTTACTGAGGTCACATCGGCACATTTGCTCAATGTTGTACACATGGAAATTGCTATGCAGAAAAGTTTTTAAAATGGTAAGAATACGGAAGAAACCGTGTAGTTTAAATCTGGGGCCTGCACAGAGGATGGATTGTCAAACTGAAGCTGGGAAGCAATACCTACCGATTCTATTAAGCACTCGGTGCAGGAGAACATCGCCCCCACGATAGCAAAGTTCTTGGCGTAGGACATGCCTCTCTGCCCCATGTCCCTCAGCACCTCCCTTGCTGTCGGCGTCCTCAAGGGATCCTTGGGGTCAAACCCAACATTGGTGTCGATTCCTGCCGTGAAAACTCCAAAGGCTCCTCCCAGAACAAATCCTAGCCAGACAAAAAAACCAGCCTGCATAGAACACTTATTCCTCCCAGGGCTATGAACCTGCTTCGTATCGACGCCCGATTGTTATATTAACAATTTTTTCCGTAATGCTTGAATCTTATGCATCTATCACACACACACCGAAGAGCCAATTATTCTATTGGTGTTTCAAAACTGTGAGGATTCCGAAAAGCTGCGTAGTTCTTTTTCTAATCTTGGGCACGTAGGTTTCTTATCCGTTAATGGGTCCGTGTCCGCAATGCCAATTTCCCTTCTGGTATAATGAAGGAAGTAATGAAGCAGGAAAAAATGAGAGAGGTTACAAATGAGAGAGAAGGCAGTACAGCCCATCTGGGTTGCGAAACTGAATTATCTGGTAGCTTCTTGAAGGGTCCCAGGGAATTCTGCATCAACAGAACGGTGGGACTGCTCCTACCAGACACCTGAATCCCATTGGCCATAGAGTAGCCTACTGTCATCTCTCCTCTATCATTAGTCATACTGAAGAATGTGTCTGACTTATTTTGAGTTCGTCTCCCCTGGCG